CTTATTTTCCTGGTGTAGATATTTCAAATCACTATTAGCCACATCTCATTCTATTATGGTTTTTTCTAACTTGCTCCCTTGTATCTCTGTTTCATATTTTAGTTGTCCCACCTTCTTACGAAGTCTCAAATTTTTTCTTTTTTTTTTCAGCTTCTAATTCTTTTTTCACAAGCTCAACTTCTGATAATTATACTTTTATTGAAAGATTAGCTGATTAGTGTGAGCTATCATCAGGATAGAGTACTATGTCTCTAGGTCACCTTACTTTTCAAATCTGGTAATCAGGAGTGATTTTGTCGATGAGAGATCCTAATCTCATTCTTTATGTTTTTTTTCATGCTTAGATTAATTGTTCCGAGGTTCTTGGTGAATTTAGTTCTCCATAAATGAATTCCACTTAGGCTAAGCCATGAGTGGCAGGAATAAACTATTTTACACCAAATTGCCTAAGCACCAATAATGAAGCATAACTTATAATGCCCCATAATCCTAACAACGGTATCCACCGCTCATTTTCTTCATGATACAACAAAGGCACTCTAGGCATCCAAGGTGCCATCCATTCAATTTCATCATCGGTAATCCTTCATAAGAAAAAGACCCACTCTTTCTTAATCTTCAATGTTGGCCATTAACTCTTGCAGAACTCTTTAATTAGTGCTTTGTTTCATAGATACGACTTTGAAAATATAATTTTTTCACATTTAAAATAACTTCTAACCCACACATATAATAGCGGTGCACTATAAACCATCTTTTTTCATTTCGTCGATAGAAATTCAATGATCGAATGATTTCTATTAAGATTGTTAGTGCGAGATTAATTGCTTGAGTTTCAATTTGTTAAAAAAAATCTACCACAGTTATCTCAATGTAACCCAAAGTCTTTGAAAAGATTATCATGCCATATAATGATAAAGTAAACACAGCCATACCTTTGTCATCATTTAAATGCTCCTAAATGAAGTTTCGTAGAAAGTCCCAACGAATGTCAAAATGTTCACCTTTAGGCTTCACAAAGGAATCAATGGTTTCCACTTTAACCCCTATAAGTTGGCCAACTTTTTACGATAACCTGATTTTGGCTTTCGAGTGAATACTTTATCTGGACACTGTAGTTTTATCCCGAGCAAAATTGAATACTCTTCAATAGTTGGCATCAAATCTTCTTGATTAAAAGTGAAGCATCTATAGGATGGATCCCAAAATTGTATAGCTGTCCTTACAATTGCTCATCGATCACTATTGAAATAAGGGATGCAAGCTGCCCATACTTCTTACAAAAGCTTTTTTTTCTTCATTTAATTATCCCCAGATAGCAGTTAAATTTTTTAAATCATTCTGTGTGAGATCTAAATGCACCTTTTCAGGCAACTTTGACATATAGTCGATAGGCAAGCAATCTTTATTATTTTGTTGGGCTTCTTTTGACCAAACATATACTTCATTATACGGCTCACATGAGACACTGACTAAGGATGAACAAATCTGAAGTTCTATGAAATTCATGAAAACTTCTTGGGAAGAAATATCTCCTAGAGTAAATATCTCGATGCAGAACTGTATGATATGATTTATGTAAAAAAAAAAACAAAATAGAGTTAGTGTGAGGATGGGGTTTGAAAAAAAAAAAATTTTTGAGATGTTTTGTTTTATTTTGTATTACACACAACTTTTATTCTTAGGTATTTCCTGCAAGAAGGTAAACGAGGCTGTACCTAAGGTTGGTTTCCTAGGCTTATTACATGCTGGATTTGAATTGACACGTTTCTAAAGGTTCTCAAATTATTCTTCACTGTCATCCACTCTGGACTAATAAGAGACCCCGATCTTTATCCAATACAGGCTATGAACGGAAATGGTTCAATTTGAGTGGATGTATTTTGCTTGTCATTGCGGAGGTTATCACCTCACGAGGGCATAGGTGCTTTACTTCCTCCTATAAGGGACAGAGCTCGGGTATAGAGCTCATGCATGAGATGCAGCATGTCATTGTATGTGCAAATGTATCCTAATTTATTGAGAGTAATATATACAAAAAAATAAAGTATAAAAAAGGCATAGTAAAAGAAATGTGTGTGAACTTTTTTGTTTTTGATTTTTTTTTTTTTTTTACTTTTTTTTGGTTGAAAATGAAAAATAAAAATCTAAGAGATCAATTAGGACTGTTTAAATCAAAATTTAAGGACAGCAAGTAGTTAATTTTAGCCTGACTCTTAAAAAAAATGTGTCTCCAACGGAGTCGACAAGCTGTCGTAACGGTTTTGTGTCCGTCCGACGAATTTGAAAATGAAATAAAAAATAACAAAAAATAGAGTCGCTACCAATCTTTTTTGACTAGGTGCGATTGGCTACCTATTAAAATTTATCCTTCTAATAAGATTTTAAAATTAATTAAAATTTATTAAAAAAATAATTTCATGATCTGCGAAACAGTCTGGGTTTGGGAGTCGGTTACGCGTGGGGAAGGATTAGCACCCCCATGACGCCCGTTTAAAAACGGTACCACTTAATTATGTGTTATCCTTTGATTTTGATTAAAATAGTTTCATTCTCAGTGTTTGGAAAAATAATTTTTTTGATTTTTTTATTTATTGAAAATTGGTTTGTTTTATTTTACTTTAAAAAAATTATTATTCAAATTTTATTCGAGAAAAATAAATTAGAACTTTTTTATTGAAATAATTCTTAAAATGTTCCATTACGTTGGTAACATTAGAAGAAGTTTTTCTCACCTAGAGATTTCTTAGGCATCGCTTCTCGAAATACCTTAGAATCTCATCTTAGAAGGTTTGAATTTACTTTTCGTAAAAATTATATCATGTATGCAATACAGAATGTTATCATTTTGATGCACACATTTTATTTTATTTTTTTTTAAGAAAAGAGAAACTTTTTATATTGAAGATTTTATATAAATATTCCAATACACTGGTAATATTTTAAAAAAATATTCTCACTTAGGAATTTCTTAAAGCATCTCTACTCGGAATACTTTTAGAATCTCTGCATCGGATAAAATTCCCTTTTTGTCTCATTTTTTATTACTTATTCTTAATTTATTAATTAGTTTTTATTTATTATTATTTTATAATAAAAAAATTTTATTTTATTAAAATTTTTTTATAAATACTCCAATACGCTGGTAGTACTTAAAAAAAATCTTCTCACCTAGAGATTTCGTAGGCATTACTACTCGGAATACCTTTAAATCTCATCATCGAATAAAATTTTTTTTCTTATTTTTTTTATCAATTTTATATTATTAATTAATATTATAAAACAATACAAATTTATTTTGGTAAATTTAAATATTTTTACATGCATAAATATCAATAATAATAATTAAAATAACAAAAATAATATAAAAAATTCAAAAAAAATTCAAAAATATTTTTTTTACCTGAATCGGACCGATCAACGGTCCAGTCAACGATGGTCCAGTTGAATCAACAGCTCGGTTCGATCTGACCATTCAGGGACGGTTTGACTTGGCCTGGGTCAATTCAGATGAATCGGTCTGGGTCTGAAGATGAGTCGGATAATCGGGTTGGTTGTGTGGATCTCGGATCGGATCACGGGTTGAAGCGCGGATCCTCAGAGGTTAAAATGACGTCGTTTTGAGAGTTTATTGAAATGATGTCGTTTTCGCTTCGGCAATTTCTATAAAAGGCCCAAAAAAAATTTTTCTCTCATTTTCTCTTCTCCTCCTCTCTCTACACTCAAACCCTATCTCTCTAGACCGGTTGGTCAATCACCTTTCGTTGTGTCGATTGCCGCTGGTGGTTACCAACCCGATCGTCAACCGGTTGCTGAAAAATCACAAAAGATATCAAAACGTTCTCCTCGACGTGCGCTTTTTGGATCCGATATCCTTTTCATCGAAAATAGCTTCGATCGACGTAGAATGGGGCTCAAAGTTTCGGTCTCCCTTCTTCTTCTTTTTTAAATCGACTAATTTTTTTTTGTAGGTAACTTTTCTGGCGCTGGGTTCCTTCATACGGGGAGGACTGTGTGGTTTTTATTTGTCTTTTTTACTGAAAAAAATTTTTTATTCTGGAAACACTTTTTTATTCTGAAAAAATCTTTTTTTTGTGGGTCTCTCTGGTTGTTTTTTTAATCGATCCCCCTTAATGCAGGTTAGAAGCTCTATTTATAGAGCTTTTTGGGATTCAAATTTCAGATCTTCTGAGATTCGAATCTCATTTTTTTAACTGAAAATTCATGTTTGCCACGCGTGTTAGGCTGCTTGTCAGTCGACTGCTGGCAGCTAGCGACGGCGATTTTGGACTTTATGGATTGTGCATTTAATGCACTAGATTTGAACTTGATAAGGAAGAAAAAGAAGGAAAAAAAAAGAAAGAAAAAAAAATAATAATAATGATGATGATGATAAAAAATAAAAATAAAAATGATGTTTACACCATCTATTAATTGAAAAAATAAAAAATTCTTAATTAACCGTTTCTGATTCACTAGCTCTTATCTCTTTTGATAAAAAGGAAGCAATAATACAATCAAAATATTATAAAATTAGATGAAATTTTCTATTCTTAGTCTTTTAATCTTTCTCAAGTATTTCAAAAATATTCAAAATTTGAAGTTAAAATTAATCAAATGATATCACTGAGTGACTAATGAAAATATATATATATTTTAAATTATGTATCTTTTAATAGATTAATTATGGGTCTCAGTCTCATTTAAATGTGATTAAAAATAAAAATTGGATATGCTCTTTTTTGAACTTGACCATTTACCGATTAATAAAAAAATTTCAAGTTTGTCTTTTATTATTTTTCTACCAAAAAAAAAAAAAGTCCCATCTATTAATTGAAAAAAAAAAAAAAGAAGGATGAGTGGGTGAAAGCTTATTGTCATATCAGAGCCAGGTTTCGATCCTGGGACCTGTGGGTTATGGGCCCACCACGCTTCCGCTGCGCCACTCTGATTTGTTGCCGTATATCCTTAATATATTTTATTTATTTACTTTCAAAAAATTTAATCTTTGACGATGACTTCTCAGCTAAGCTTTTCTCCTCTTCTGCAACAAAAAGCTAAAAAATCAAACTTTTCATCAGAAAAGCATAGAAAAGAATAATTTTTCAAATCAATTTTAAGGAAAATGAGAAGAAGACCTGGAATCGGAGGCTTACAAACAGCTGCAGCGGCTAGGGTTTGTTTCAAAAACCAATTCAATCTTAATTATGATTATCCAATTTAATCTTAATTACATCCTAAAATATCTACCTTTAATTACTTTTTTTTTTTTTTATCTTTTTAATTTCAGGATCAATATCGGTTACTGGGAGAAAATGTAGCCAAGTTAAGAACCGATCTCATGAAAGAACAGCTCGCTACTTTCCGTTCTCAACTCGAAGAATTCGCTCGAAAACACAAGGTTAAACAAAAAAAAAAAAATCCCTCCTTTCAATTTTTTCATGATTTTTAATTATTTTTAAATTTGTTATTTTTTTTTGGCAGAATATATTCGTAAAAATCCGTCCTTTAGGTCACAATTTCACGAAATGTGTGCTAAAGTGGGAGTGGATCCTTTGGCTTCAAATAAGGGATTTTGGGCTGAGCTTTTAGGGATTGGTGATTTCTATTATGAACTTGGTTGGTATCCAAAATCATCTCTTTTAGGGAAAAAAAAATTGGAGCATTTACTTTTGTTTTCAAGTTTCTTTTTTAGCTTAAATTGATTCTTTTTTATCTATATAGGGCAAAGTTATGAGCTTTATATCTTTTTTGTTTGGTATTTTGTAGAAATTTTTTAATCTTTTTAACTGTTTTTCGATTTCTAGCATTTTCTTTTAATGGAAGTTTTCTAAATTTGCTTACTGTTTTTGCTTTATAATAGCATTAAGAAATGTAACTATGAGAGTATTGGATTATTTTTGTTCAAAGTTCTATGATTGTGAAGTTTATTTATTTAATTATGCATGATGCACCTGCAAGCTTCTCTGCTTTTTGCATGATACATAAGCTTATGGTCTGTAAAAGTCTGTTTTTTAAGAGGATTTTCATAAGCTCTTCTTATACATTTTGAAGTTTTAACCTTAGAATGAAAGGCATCTGTGTTAAGACTTGGTAGAGTGGTAATAATGGGGTTTTGGTACTTGACTAGACAGGGGTGCAAATTGTTGAGATATGCTTGGCAAATAGGCCTCTTAATGGAGGTTTGATCGACCTGCTGGAACTATGCAAATTGCTTCGTCAGAAACGAAAACATGATCGTGAAGCTATATCTGAGGATGACTGTTTGCGTGCTATAAGTAAGCTGCAGGTATGGTAGTAAAGTTACTTCATATTTGTTTGATACTGATTATCGAATGAGTTTTCCTGCATTGCCACATTCTGTTTTCCCATTTTCCCGTTTTCACCCCAGGATGAGTGAGAGGAAAGAGCATTAGAGAGCAGATTGGTTTTCCTTTGTTTTGAGCAACATTGTTTCTTGAACATTTTTTGAATTGTTAGTGCCATTATTGCAGCTTGCTAGTCCTTTCTATTGCATGGTCTGTAATGGAGTTGTCTTATGCAACTTAAATAAAGTTTTTACACTGCCATTTTTAATGCATTGTGCTACTTGAATTTTGCAGACATTGGGTAGTGGATTTGAAGTGATATCTGCTGGAAAGAAAAAGCTTGTTCGAACTGTTCCAACTGAGTTGAAGAAAGACCATAATGAAATTCTGGAGCTAGCACAGGTTTGTCTAATTCCTTGTGCAACAAGTACCTAATGTAAGTAATTGCTTAATTGATATTCTACTTGTTTCTCTCTCAGGCTCAAGGCTATGTGACTGTTGATGAGGTAGAGAGACGGCTTTCCTGGACGTATGGACGTGCTATAGATGCTTTCATTTGTTTCTCCCTTTTCTATTTGCTCTGCTGTTTTATATTCTAATAATACCTGCAGATTCAAACTTCTTATAACGAAATCAAACCTCAAATTAAAATGAAGTGAAAGAAAAAGAGTGAGAATGCATTAATCATTTAAATTGAGCCTGTTAACAAAGAAATGTAAAGGGTATTAACCATCCTGACAATTATCTTGTGAAGAGTAGAAACAACTTAGAATGAACTTCACAGAAACTGTATGAATTTCTGGCAAAAAGTGATACATGTTTTTGGTACCTCTACTTGCAAAATGTTGGTTTCAAAAGTCTTTTCTGCTAACGATGTAATGCTGTTCCAGCAGAAGCCCATGATTGTCTAATAAATAAATCAATGGAATGTGTCATTTCAATGTTTGCTTGTAATTCTTATTAGATGATACTTAATTGTGATCATTACCATTCAATATATTTTTTCAATAGGAGACGGGCCATTAATTTATGTCCAGTACATTGCACCCACTGACATTAATTGTGATCATTACCATAAATTAATGATTTAATTGTGATCATTACCATTCAGCACCAGGGTCACTCCAAGACCTGGGTCTTACCCCGAGCTTGAAAAATATAAACTTCTCCAATGCCTCAAAAACCTTGTATTTGTCCAAAAGTTTATTCCAAACTCCACTGACGATGCAATAGTTACTGTTATACGGTGGCCTATGGTGTGCAGAATGTTGCGACCGCGACAAAAGGACACCGGCATCTTGTAGCGCCACCACCAATGGAGGGAGCTTGCTCTTGGTGGTATGAGACCAAGTATGAAATTGTTGGCTGAACATGATGCAACCGGCACAGATGCTGACAAAGCCTTGAATAACAGGTTCATTACAAAATATATCTATAGGAAGCATGTAGAGAGTTACGCTACGAGCCGGTACATGTAAATTTTTAGCAAACTGATGCCTGGTGAAATTCCAGGGCTGTTTATGGTGCCCCTGGAAATCTGCAATTTGTGAACCAAAAATTGGAGTTGATGCATCACCATAATTGTCAATAACCCAATGGTATATCCCGCTCAAAAGGTCAGCTAAAATGTACCCAACATAACCTGCTAGTATAGTTTCGAGCCACATATGTGAATCGGCTGCACCCACTATCGCCTTGGCTAGGGAAATCAACAGTGTGATGCACCCACTTGTCACCCAAGCCCGGTGAGGCCATGTTGATTGAAAACTTGGGTCATTGGCCAGGGGAGGACCAGCACTAGGTATGATGGGAGTGACCAGGTCTGGTGTAGTCACGAGCCGTGGGTCGATGAATAGCTCGTTCTGACTGGACCTAGGCATGGCTGTGGTGGTGCCTGAACATATGGGAACATGGGTTAGAGACATTGATGGGTTCTTGCGTTGAGGCATGATAGACGTTAAAGGGAGGCTTATGAGAAACTGAAGTCTAGTGCAATGGCAGGGCAATATTTGTAGAGGCTGAGTGTTACGGACTAAGCTTTCTTTCAACAAGTAATAGACCTTGCGGCACTTGAATGGGCACTCCCAATCAAGTCAGCCTTCAATAGATCGATATCTAAACAAATAACTATAAACTATGGTTAGTCACAAGCATTCACAATAAGGTACAACATATCGAGATCAATCTCAAGCACACACATAAGAAGGTATATCCGCATCAAGAAAAAGAAAAACACATCGAGGCAACAATCGGGACATTGAATCGGGATGAGTTTTATTATAAACGGGACTCATACATCGGGACCTCCCACCGTCACCAGGGCCAGGGGGCAGCCCTTGGTGTGTGGCCTAAGCTCGTATAGCAACCGGTGAGACAGCCCAACACTATGCTGCCCGCTCACCCCTCCTAAAGAGCCTTAGAGATTTTAAAGCTATACTACCAGTAACCGTTACAATGTTTGAAATGGGGACACTTTTCCTAGCACAAGGGATCTACCCGGCCATGGCCCTATACATGGGTGGCTCATGGCAACCTAAGTCCCGGTCATGGCCCTATACAAGGTTGGCTCATGACATCCTCCCCCACCTATTCTATCGACGTCCTCGTCGACTTGCTGGCTTGAAATTCTTCAATCTTCCTTTGAAATCTCTGGAGGTCGTGCTCTCTCTCCCAGCTGGTTTCTTCTAGTCCTAATCCCTCTCACTTCACTAAGTACTCCCGAACTAGTCTTCGAGATATCTTGGTTTCCCTGTCAGCTAAGATCTCTTCGACTCGACGCTCTGAGGGTGGCTTCATGGTGATGGCAGCTCTGGTTGGCTCCTTTCGGCTAGCATTTGTAGGATCTGCATGGAAAGGTTTCAAGTTGCTCACATGAAATACTGGGTGCACCTTCATCCACTTTGGTGGGTCAATTTTGTAAGAAGCATTCCCCACCTTGGAAAGGACCCTTACTGGACCTTCATATTTGCGCACCAGTCTACGATCTCTTTTTCTCAAGAACCTGGTTTGTTCAGGAACTAGTCAGACAAGAACCAAATCACCAGCTTGAAATTGTTGAGCTCTACGACACTTGTCTGCCCATTTCTTCATCCGCTTTGATGCTTTCTCCAGGTAGGCTTGCGCAATTTCTGTGTTTTGTTTCCACTCTTTACTGAGATTGAAGGCTCTCGGATTCTTTCCTCCATATTGTTCCAAGGAAGTGTGGGGTAGCCTTGGTAATTGTCCGGTGACCACCTTAAATGGGCTCTTGTTGGTGGAAGAGCTTTTGTTGGAATTAAAGCAGAGTTGAGCTACGTCCAATAATGAAGGCCAGTCTTTCTGATTCGCTTGAACGAAGTGCCTCAGGTATTCCTCTAATAATTCGTTGAACCGTTTCGTTTGACCATCGGTTTGGGGGTGATAGCTTAAGGAGATGTTGAGTTGGGACCCCAATATCTTGAAAAGTTCTCTCCAAAAGGACTCTGTAAATCTCGGATCTCGATCGCTGACAATGTTTTGAGGGAGGCCTCAGTATTTGATCACATGTTTGAATAATAGTCGAGCTGTGTCTTCCGCAGTGCAGTACTTGTGAGCAGGAATGAATGTGGCATACTTAGAGAACCGATCAATTACCACCAAAATTGCTCTAAGGTCACCAACCTTGGGTAGGCTCGAAATGAAATCGAGGGAGATGCTTTCCCAAAGTCTGGTGGGTACTGGTAGTGGTTCAAGCATACCTGCAGGTTTCCTCTTTTCAACCTTGTCTTGTTGGCAAATGAGACAAGTCTTCGTATAGTCCATCACATCTTGTCGCATGTGAGGCCAATAGTATCCCTGTTTCAATAACGCCAAGGTGCGTTGCCAGCCCGGGTGTCCCGCCCATGGTATGTCATGACATTCCCTCATTAACATCTGTCTCAGACCTTCTGCTCTTGACACAAATACTCGAGGCCCCTTGGTCCATAGGACCCCGTTTTCTTGCCAGAAGTACTTGGACTTCCCTTCTTCCACTAGCTTCAGGATGGCACAGGCTTGCGGGTCCTTCCTTAAGTGATCTCCAATCAACTTGTGAATGTTTGTAGTGGCTCTACTAGCCACCATTGGGGTAATTCTTCTAAGGGTCGCTAGATCTGCTCGCCTGCTCAATGCATCGGTCACTTGATTGGTCTTTCCAGCGGTGTGCTCAAAACAAAAGTCAAATTCCGCTAAAAATTCCTGCCACCTAGCTTGTTTTGCCGTAAGCCTTGGTTGGGTGAGAAAATGGCTAACGGTCGTATTGTCTGTCCTTACGACAAAGTGTGAACCCAATAAGTAATATCGCCAAGCCTTCAAGCAGTGAACCACCGCGAGGAGTTCTTTTTCCTAGGCTGTATATTTCCTTTCAGCTTCACTTAGCTTCCTACTTTCAAATGCTACTGGGTGATGTTGTTG